TGGAGAACAGTCTCGACAAAGAACCCAGAGGCAGGAGGGTGGATGCTAATTGAAGAGGAATAGCAAATAGGTCAGTTTGACTGAAAGGCACTATCCCAATCCAACCCAACCTAAGGAATAGTTTATTCAGTGCTTACTAGCTCCAAAATACTGCATACTAGGCACTGGCAATACAAAGACAAAATGAGAACAGATCTTACCCTCGAGGAGTTTACATTCTACTGGAGGGGGAGGCACTTTTAGTATGACTCTAAAATCATATGGTTGTAATTGAATAAATTTAATCCTACCCCATGTTTTAACATAAATCCTCTTGGATCTATAATAATTTAATTCATTGTGGGTTTTTTGGTTCTATTTTCTTTGGGGTTCCTTTGTGAGATACAGAGAAGCTGGAGGGGGGAGGAGGGAATGGAATCTGAAAATCTTAATTGGCATCCTCAAAACTACCTAAGATTGCCTACATCACATTTGGTGTGACCAGAATAGGTCACTACCTGAGTCCTACAAAAATCTGGTCACAAGCAGAAGAAAAAAGGCATAACAGAGGGGAAGAAAAGGATCATAATTAAACCCTGCTCTTCTGATATGAAATGAAATTCTCCTTTCAACGATCATAGGTAAGTTTCAAAGCCTCTGAGATTAAAGCAACCATGCTATTCAAGTGATTGCTTCCTAAGGACACTTATCAAAAGTAAAAGAAAAAATTCAAAAAATAGCAAGGATATGAAAACACAGCTCTCTGAATGAACTACATTTTAAATACTTTTCACCATTCCTTCTCCTAAGGCCCGCCATAGTGTATTAGAAAAATAAAGTATTTGTTTTCTTGATATTGATTTCTCTTGAGTAAAAGAGTATAAAATTGAAATGTTCAGTTTTAGAAACATAAAGAAATTTTTAATTGCTAGGATGTATCTATCTATTGGTACTCTATTTTTCCTCTATTTTTTTAAAAAAAGATTTTAAATAAAATATATTCTCCACCTCCCCTAGAAAACAAAACAAAACAAAACATGTATGTAACTGGATGCAAAACAGGTCCCATAAAATGATGCATTTAAAGTAAGGTTAAATTTCTATCCAGGTTGACTTTACTCCAAAATTGTAATCATTTTAGCTTTCAGATAATCACTATATAAGGGAATTTCCTAGTCTGCTGCCAGTATTCTTCATGAAGTTTCTCCTAAAATATTGTTTATTAATGTTTTAGAAACTAAAAAGAGTAAATATTTATACATCTTGAGATTAACTTCTCAGTTTATAAACTGTGCCAAAAATAAATAAATAAAAAGGCTCCTTTCCTTCAATTCCCACACCCCCTAATAGAACTGCTTAATATTTCTGAAGTAATGAAAAATCACTGTAAAACATCTGGAACATTTCCTCAGGGGGGAAAAAAAAGTGAGGGAGAGTTAAGGTGGATTTCTTTCTCCTTTATTGACAGTATGACAAGGTCTCACCAGAACAATTCCTCAGTACCAAGCCCTCTTCCACAAGTTCAAATTGCTAACTCCAGCCATGCACTTTCCTTGAGAGGGCAGAAGAGTTACTTAACAGCCTTTGTTGCCTCAGTGCAAGTGAACAAAATCATTTCAGAAAATGTTATTCGAGAGCAGAAGCTAGAATAAACTTGCAGCTGCTCTGGGGGGGCAAAGCAACAGTCACCTTCTAAACTTTTGACATGCCTCTTCGTTCTTGGCCTCCATTAGCATGTACTACTTATAGGTAAGAACGGCAAGAGGAAATGTAGTTCTGTCCCTAAGGTCCCTTGAAGACTCCACCAGATGACCAGGGTTAGATCTCAAACAGCAGGACACCACAGGCCCCCAGCCACATGGCCATTTTTGTCCACCAATCCTTTGTCAAACATTTAAGATCTTAATCAATCTTAGCTCTGACCTCCAAGCACCCGAGGAAGATGGATGAGGAAGCAGGTGACCTTTCCCCTTCTCTTGTATTTATCCTGCCACAGCAGACCCATTGAAAAAACAATTGGGGCAGAACCTGCCCCCAGAGTTCTGAAGCCTCTACCAGGACTCTGCTCTATAGGCTTTCTTAGGCTTAAGCTTTTTTCACCCAGATTCTCTCTTGCCCAGCCCCCATCCCAACTCATCTCATCCAATAGAAAATGTTCTTTCTAAGGCATCAACAAATAAGTAGAAATTCATCCAACATAATTTAAGAGGAATAAAAGATTCAAATGCTTAACTTCTTTTGGTAGGACCATAGCCCTAATATCAGAAACCAATATTACTATAAAGTACTCTGACCCTCAACCAGTGTTCAGGCAAATAGCTATGATTTGGGGATACAGATTATGATAAAAATAAAACCACAATAACCACGGAAGGGAATAATTTTTATTTCCATTGATTTTTTTAAAAACTGTCTTAAGAATAATGAAAAAAGCCACACATTAATTTAGCATTGGAGGAATTCTTTGTCATTTAAGTTTTTCCTCTTTGATACCCATGACCTCATCCGAGATCGTTACTGGATGGGGGCTGGGGATAGAGAAACCCTGCAGCAGAAGATAAGAGGTAGAAAATACTGGGGAAGGACCAGGCAAGACCAGTCTTTCCAACTAAAGTTCTTTGGAGGTATAGGTAGAATCTCTGAAAATTCTCCATAGATTCATTCATTCTAAAATCACTCAACCTATCTCCACTATCAACCCATGAACAGAAGTTTCTTAAGCTAAAACCAGTTTGCTCAGGAAATGGACTACATCTGACTCACTCAACAACTCCTCATTGACCTTCTACTACGTGGTATTTTATTCTGCCTCCTCCCTTCTAAATTCCCACGATGATTTCCATTAAAAAAAACCACTAAATAGGTTGATTACCTTTCCATTCACTTTGCTTTCCATCTTTTTCTCTTTCCCCCTAATGTGAGTTGCAAAAATGTCAGGAACTCTCACACATAGCAAGTATGAGTTATTGGGCTCTGCAACAATTGAAAATCAATGACTTTGGATACACCAAGAACTACTAATGCTCAAAGAGTGAGCATTCAGCAGGAACAGGAAGCCAACAGTGTTTCCAATGATTCTTGACAGGAAGATGCGTAATTTGCTGTCTTGCAGAAATCCAAAAGACAGATTAATTTACCTAAATATGATGCCCTGTCACTTCACTGTGTGCTTTTCAATTTTTGCCATCATCATGATTTAGTTGCCTATAAGATATGCTTATGTATTTTCTCATCAGAATGCCAGAAAGAATCCTAAGTTTGCAATATGGCATAGGCTAAACAGTGGTTACTAACTCAAGGGCAAAACAAGGAAATGCCAAGGAAGTCAGGTTTTAAAGGTATTTCAAGTGTGATGTTTAAATGCAAATTACTTTCTTACACTGGGTCTGCAGGAACAGTTGAACCTTTCTCCTTATTTTATAATGAAATTAAACAAAAGCTGAAAATAGTTACCTCCCCCAAAAGAAAAACTAGCAACACCTCAGGAAAGCTGACATTAAAACTCCTTTCGAGTACCTCAGCAACTACTACGAACTATGAAAGTCAAATTCAATGTGTTTTGTGATCCAACAGAATCCTTTTTAAAAAAGCCATAAATACTGCCTGCCTTTCAATCAATTGGAGTGCTACCCAGTTGATCCATTCTGTCCTTTAAGTCAGTTAAAGGTCTCATTTGGCAATCAGCTGTCTTCGTCACCCTAATGATCAAATCAGATGAACATGTGGAAATTCCATTTATCACTCAGCAATGCAAAATCTGATAAGCCACCTATGGGCCAATTCCTGAGTTATGTTAGACTGGAACTGTTTGGTCCTCATATCAATAATAAAGACAACAAAAATAAAAATCACTGCTACATTTTAAAAAATAACTTTAGGAAAGCATTGGATAATTTTGCCTTTTCAGTAACCTTTTATTCCTATCAATGCACAGACCCAGAGGTTATTATAAATGAAATTTTTAGTTCCTATCACAGAAGCACAATAACTACAAATAGGATATATATATATATGTATATACATATACACACACACATATTTATATTTATGTATATATATATATATACACACACGCATACACATACACACACACACACACACACACACACACACATATATATATATATATACACACACACACACACACACATACACACAGTCTTCTATTTGGAACAGAAAGTTACAGAAAAAAGAGGTAGCAATAAGCTACACACACAAATTACTCAACAAAATGGCCATTAGTCATTAATGAGATAAACTGTTTAGACTTCTTAGAAGACTAAAGCAATCAAAATAAATCACAATTTGCTGCCTATGACCACAAATCAAATCAAAGAGCTCTTACCAACTTTGTACCACCTCCTAAGGGAAATAAAGAGGGTTTATGTCAAAATTAATTTTACTTAGAGTGGTGTCTATCTGTGCATAGTGGAAGTAACTGTGCCTGGGAGAAACAGCCATACCAGTTTGTGACACATTTGTCCAAAGATGGACAGGGACACAGTAATAATGGACAAGTTGCTCACAGTGGGTCCATTTTAATCAACTGAGCTGGTTGGATTGGAATGACCCAATCATCTCATCATATCTGATTCTACCCACATATTAAGACATGTCTACACAGATGTTGGTGCTTTCCTACTTTACCAAACATTCCTACTGGGAAAACTATTGCTCAAGATATGAGTGCCCTCTCTCTTTAAGTGAGGATCAGTCAAGTGTATCTATTGCTTCAGTGGGTTCATTTAAATTGCATAGGATACATCAAGCCAGTTCCAAACTAAGAGCCTGTTAGCAAATGTGTTTGACCTTCTGCTGATTATAGCAAGATCATTTGTTTTGTCAGAATTATAAACGTCTTAGCCTTGCCACCTGGAGCTTTTGGACTTGCTCATTAGACCCCTCTGTCCCATTGCATCCCATAGGGGCTGCTAATTACTGGCTTTACTCCATTTAGTCTCATCTCTGATTTAATTATGTGCACTAAGCCCTAATGAAAAGTACAATATGGCTGTTCCTACCTTGGCATTCTCCATTTCTCTCTTCATGCCCAGCATTGCATAGACAGTTGCCAATGGGTACCAGCCATTCACCATCTGCCCCACAATACATTTTTGGCACATCCTTCTCTTCTGAGTTGTTGACACAGGAGCCTCGAACTTCCACTAGGGAGGATGTATCAGCCCCAGTTATAGTATCTGGAAATTGAGCCAGATTTCGAACCGTCAATGGGCACTTCTTATAGAAAACCCGAACAGATACTAAGGCAATGCAAGCTCCGACATCCTGAAAAGCCAAATAGAATCCTTTCTTGCTCAGTGGCCCCACATCTCTTATCTCAGTGTTCAACTTCATGATTCTGTCACCAATGTCCACTTGGGTGAAGCTCTCATCAGCAGCAATGGTATCAATCTTGGCAAACTGGCTTTCTCTGATAAAGCGCTCTTTGTCATTGTTGGATTCATAGTAGTACAAGTTGAAAGTTTCTTTGCAAGTTCCCATAACTCCTGGTAGGCTGTTGCAGTCCCGCAGTGTGAATTTAATCTCAATATATACCCTCTGAGCCCCTTCCCGGGGAATCCAATCAGTTCGTAACCAGTTGTTTTGGCTGGACTCCATCACATTGCAGACTTGGTAAGTACGGATCGGAGTGTTTTTCTCATCCATAATGCTCACTTCTTCCCACTGTGAATATCCAAAGAGAAATAAACCCAATGAAAATTTGCATCAAAACATTACTTGATAATTCTTTCTTCCTCTGGTAAGGTCCTAATTTTGTTTGTTTCCAACATCAGAATTACTAAAAAATGGGTATACAAAACCTGAGAAATAAAAAAACCAACCACAGAAGTCTCTTAGGAGAAACACAATCATAATCAATTATAAGATATCTTGATGGCTAAGCATTATTTCATCTGTTCTAGTTCTTGAATAAGAGCCAAAGATCCAGGTAATCCCATTTATGGTGAGTTTATTGTCTGTGAGTTCTCCACAGTTATTTCTGGTGGTCTAGCAGCCTCCAGTTCACCTATTACAACAGCCTCAATTGGAAGTGGCAACAGTTCAAATTTGCTTATAAATGAAAACCCAGTAATGTGTATTGTTTCAACAATTGAGCAGAGACCTGCAAATTAAGGACAGGAAGAGTGTAGCTTGCCAAAGGAAGACAATTATCAGTTAATTAGTAGAACTCCTGTCAGAACTTTGCTCCCTAATACCTAAAAAATGTCAGTCTTTCTTTTTGGCACAATCCCTGTTCTTTAAAAAGAAACACACACACACACACACACACACACACACACACACACTCACACCATTCTGTGATCTCAAATAATCCCAAGAAAATGGGCAGTCAACAGCAAAGCCAAGAACACCAGATATGGGGACATTTACAATGGCAGCTCTAACTTTAAAACCATTTGTTCCCATACTCATCATGTATGTTTGTTTATTCCTTTTGAAATTTCAGAAATCTAGAAGTTTTAAGTAAGGAATATGGCATTGAACCCATTTTGTTTCACTCTAACTCTGCCTTGAAGAGTGGAAAATAAACTAGCAGATGGAAGTTATGTCACCAAGAATGAGAAAATTTAACAAGAGTGGGAGCCGTGACATGCAGGCTGAATTTGATGTGCCTGGAAAATCTGCTTGGCCCTATTTGTTATTCAAAGGATTTCAGATCTAGAGACCATATAGCTCAACCCCTTCAGATCATCGATAAGGAAACTTAGGCTCAGGAAAAGACTTGTCCATGATCACACAGGTCATATGGGAGGTAGGATCTGCACTCAAGTTCTTCAGCTTTAGAGCTAGGTTTCTTTCCATTGGACCACACTCTTCCCTTGTCACTTGTTAAAGATGCCCCTCCCTATATGGGGATAGGTTTAAAAGTGTAATAAGCTGGCAAAACCATGAGATGTTTGTCCATTCCAATCATCCATTAACATCCAATCTACTGATTTTCTATAGATCTGATATAAATCTGCCAGCGTAGCAACAGAGGAATAACACTAGAAGGAAAAGAGGTGACTTAAAAATGTGTATTACATAATAGTTCCACTTAAACCTTCATTTTGCTCCAAGAATTATATAAAATTATTGCAGGTCTTCCAGAGGCATCCCCAGAGATACTATTGAATATTAGTAGTGGAAAAATGTATTAGCTATACATGAGAGAGTTCATAATATATAAATTCTTTATTTTATCTGCTACCATTGAGGAAGTTGGATTGGGGGGACTAGGGCCAAGGATGAAGTAAGTATGCAGTATGAATCAAAATTGATTTTCTTCCTTCTAATTAGCAAGCAATTGCCAATAATTTCCTTTATTTGGGAAAATAGTTGACGAATCCAACATGTAATCTCCCCCCAAGAAATATTCATTAAGTTATTCTATCTCAGCGCAAAGGGAATATCCTAATCTAAACTGAGACACACAGGTTTTGTATACACAGTATGAAACAGGATCTCTAAAGCCCCAAAGTGGGCTTTTTCTACTGATGCTTCCTGCTTGACTAACTACATAGCTCAAATTAACTGAACCACTGACAAAACTCCCCTTTCACTGCATCCCAGGGCATACAGAGCAAGACCACGAGTGGTCAGCTCTTTTCAATGAGATTGCTCCTGAATGAAGTTCTGTGTTAAAAGGATGCCATGGAGATTAGGTTCTGTAGGATTGGTCTCATGGATAAAGGTGTGACAGAATAAGGAGTCTCCCACGACCTATGATGATTTGCTTGGTGTCTTTTCCAAAATACGTCCTTATTAACAAAAAAACAATCAATTCCATCTTTATGATAGTAACTATTATCCCAAAATAACAATATTTAAGATACCCAACCAAAAAAAGATATCAAATGTAAATAATAATAATGATACTTGACTTTATATTACTTTATATAGGACTTTAAAATTTTCATATCATTACATATGATAAGCAGTTTTAAAAAAGAGAAACTTAGCTTTAACAATCCAATTCAACCCTTACTTGAACTTCGAAGCATTAAACTTTTTCAACTATAAAATTTTGAGAAAATAATAAATTAAGTTTATAACTCAGAATATTAATTGTACTAGGTCTACTCTGTATTTGGGAATATGTAGTGGTATATAATTCATATGTTTTGTCCCCACCTTAACGTTGGACATGTAAAGAATTATCTACAATAGACCCATGAGACAGTTCTGCAGTATATACATTTATCCAGCAATAGTGTCCAATATATAAATAAACTATCATAGTTTAAAATAAAATTCTGACCAGGATGCTCTTTCAACAATTCTGGAAAAGAAAAATTGAAAATATGTTAATTTGCAATATAAACTTGCAAAGAACCAGACAGGTTTGTCACTAACTTGTTTAAAGTAGGCCACATGTACAGGGATTTAGTGAAATGTCAGGTCCAATGTAAAATTGTAGGCATTCCCTCCTCAAACTCAAGAATAACTTTCAATAAGGAAAATCTGGCAAGTGAACATGATTAATAATTTACTGACACCTTCCATTTTCAATTTTACTGGTAGTTCTCAAATATTTTAATCTACAGAGAAGTACCCTTGGTGCAGCCAGGAAAGCCTATGTGAATCAATGACCTTTCCAGGGTATAGGATTAACAAGAAGCCTGACTCTCACTGAGATAAAGCTGTACCTTTCTCCACTGTCAAAGGATGAGGGCAATTGCCTACAATCAACAGTGAATACAGCCTGTCTACACTGCCAGAGACCTACCAATCACAACGTCCCTTTAAAAAAAAATGGTTTCGAGGACAGTCTAGTATTTTTCAATACAAAAACTACAGAAAACTGCAGTCAAGTTCAGGCAAAAAACAAAGAAAAATTAGAAGAAAAAAAAATGAGGCAAACTAATATCTCATTATTATTTGCCTCACATGGACAAGTCAAATTTCTGCTGCAATAAGGGTCTTTATAAAGCAGCCTAAAATTTCTTCAGCTCTACTAACCATTTCTTTACCTAATTTTTGGAAGGAGAACATGTTCACCTGCAATTGCTCCTATAAATCTTTTTTCCTTATAAATCACTCAAGTGTTTATTCAGCTCATGGGTGTGTGGCACCATACTGGGGACTAGTCCTTGTATTTTGCTTAGCAAAGCCTCTTAATCTTGCAACCCCATTATTTTCAATCAGTGAATCTTAGAATACTGAGAGCATTAGGCAGGGTCATTTGTTTAATTTCTAAAGGATTTGAGAGTTATTTTAATTTGTCAGGAGCAAGATGTGCAATGCTGACATATTTCAAAGACTGTTTCCTAGGATTAATAATTAAGGGGGAATGGAGAAGGAGGAGAAATGTTGCCATTTGCCTCTTTTCATTTCTTACATTTTCAAATGCAGGCAGTGATCGGCGAGTGCTACATATACTGAGACAAATTAACAGTGAATATTTGCACTGAAGATGAGGTCTCTCCTACTTAACCAGCCATCCCCAACCCCTATGACCTTAGACTAGAAATTTTCTAACTTTCCATATTCACCACAAACAATGCACAAACCCAAGCTGTTGGGTTGTTTCTGTTGAAGACAAGTGATGAAACTGGCAAGAAATCAGATGGCTTTCCCACAGGGTACAGAGGAAAACACCAATGACTGGAGGTTGTGATATGGAAGTATGAGGCTTTGACAGTGTATGTCCTCAGAATTGGACCTGCTTGCATGCGGTAAGACCTGCCTCCCTCCTCTATCTTTATTTATTCGTTTTTTAAAAAATCTGGAAATAACACTATTGCTCCAAAGTTAACCCCTGTAAGATCTTCCATGGTTGTAACAGAAATAGGCATAGATTCCAATTTGGTCCCCAGATTATGTTTCTTGTTGGTATTTTAGTTTTAAACAGGTATCTAAGTCCATGCCTCAACCAATCTAATTCTGAAACCCCTTTCTGCCCTTTTGGTTTCCAGTTCTTCCATGACAGAGTCATCCAAAGGGAGTATAGGATTTCTCTAACAAAGCCTAATTCACTTCATAGGCCATGAAGGAAATCTGACCTCCTCACCACAATCAACAATAATCGGGCCATTAGGACTCTCCAGAAACTTACTAATCACTCTTTAAAAAAAAACCCTCTTTTGATCAGCTCACCATTCAGAACTTACCCCTCCTTCCAAAGGGCTGGCTATCCACCCAAGCTCTCCCTGAACCGATCTGGAATCCAATAAGGTAACTGCAGAAAAACAAAGCAAAATAGATTAATTTCCAATCACTAAAAGCCAATACTACAGAAACTATTTGCTTGAGCGTTTCCATATGTGAGGAGGGTAAGCACATCCAACTCTGATCTAAACCCAAACTTTGTTTCACTTATGTAAATAATCATTATTCACTTGATCTTCTCCCCCCTTTAAATCTGCAGGTTTTTATTTATTTAACTTGCCTAGCAGTTAAAATTCCTTCCAAGGACTCTGTTAATCTACTTGGTTTTGAAGATAAATGCAGAATTCAAAATAAAATGAGAAGACAATGTGGAGCAATTAAGCTCCAGAGTAAAATATTCAGATATCTATGAGTGGCATTGGATGGAATTATATTTATTTTCACAACTTTCAGGTGATTATATAACCTAACTGCCTGGCAAAGTCATAATTGAATTCTTTATGAGATTCCCCCAAGGATCATAAAAGACTAAAGGTTCTTTTTTTTTTGGTGTTTTTTTCCCCCTTCTATCCTCCTTTTCTGCTTATCACAACTAAAACTATATGGCACGGATGTGGGATAAGCTGATTTTTTAAAATAGCGAAGTTTCAAAGGAAAGATGCCTGATGTGTTCCAGAAACATAGTCAAGTATGGAGAATAACATTGCCTATGGTCTCTTGGTGAAGATGGTTTGGTGTTACTGCCTTTGTTTTATTTTTCACACCTCTGGAGAGTATTAGAGTTTTGAATTTTAGGTATATACAGTAGTATCTAATGGATTTGATGTGCTTAACTTGGAACTGCAAACCAGGGCGCTACGAGACCACAGAAGTATGAAAGACGTCCTTTTTTTGGAACAGCTAAGGTCATTTACCCTTATGACATTGAAAGAATCCAAATGAATTCCCAATCATTTATCTCCATTCCCTTTCCCACAGTCCCTGATGATCTGGAGGCCCAAAGATCCACTAAAAATGGATCAATGGCATATTAACTTGATCAGCAAGGCCATCCAGAACCGGGTGAGGGGTAACAATTCCCCGGAATGGCCATGATGAATCCTTCCTCACTCCAACACCGCCCCCTTCCCATTATCCTGAATTTTTCCCTCCCCAGTAGTTTCCCCCTTCCCAATCCATCTAGTTATAATCAGTGTTCCTCCTCCATTTCTTCCTATGAAGGGACTGAAATATCTTTGATGTGTGGATTATTTTAAAATGTAACCGCCATCTCCCCAGTCCAACCCCCAACCCCAGCACCTAGATCTCCCTCCACCCTTCTCCCACCTCGGTATCTTTCTTCTCTCCCAAGAGAAAAGCATGCTACATCCATTTGGATTAATGTAAGGTGGATTAAGAAAACAAAGGGAACAATGCGACCCAATTTACAAAAAAAGGGGGGGGAAGAGAGGGTAAAAAGGAAGAAAAGGAAACGTGATGAGAATCAAAAGAAGCAACAAAATGAATTTATTGAAAAAAAAATAAAGGGGGGGGAGTTAGGGAGGAGACATCCTTGTTTCTCCCTACTGCAGCTACGTCGGTGGGTTTTGGCTACAGCTATTTCACCCCAGCTCTAAGTTTAGATTCTCTAGCCACCCTAGTCCCATGGCTCCCTTTCCTTCCCCCCCTCCCAAAATAAATAAATAAACAAATGAATGAATGAATGAATGAATGAATGAATGAAAAACAGAAAAGAAAGCAAAGAGAGGAAAGGGGCTCTGCTTTTGGTGACATACAGGAATACAGGAGTCTCCCGGGACGAACTATCAAGTTCACCAAGTAGCAGAGGGAGCGCACGAGGCCTGATGATTATCTGCCGCCTCCCACACCTGACAAGATAGCTGAGGAGAGCAGGCCCTGGGTGATCCGGGGGACCGCGATGAGATAGAAACATCTTTTCCCCCTCATAGACAGTCTTTCTCTGTAGTCAGGTGTGTATGTCTCTGATCTCCAGCCTCTCTAGTTCTGGGCATCCATCTACTTCTGCATTAGGTCGCTGAGACTACGTTGTTTTTCAGTCCCTCTCTCCCTTCGTACGGAGAAAATGATAGATTGGATCAGAACGCATAGATTAGAGATAGATCGATCGATCGATAAATGATAGCACACACACACAGACACAGACACACACACACAGACACAGACACAGACACACACACACACACACACACACACACACACACACACACACCCCTCTCTATTGCCTCCCTGGTTAGGAAATCATCCTAATAAATTAACCCAGTTTCTCGGACAGCACAGATGCGCTCGCTCCAGACGCGCTGAGAATGAGCGGAGAAAGAGCTCGGTCCCTAGCTGTCTACAGCCTTTCTTTCTGAACTAAGACGCCACCTCCAGGGACGCTCGCAAGGGAGGGCCGCAAAGCAAACCCTACAATCTGTTGGATTACAACTTGCTTTTCCTTCCCCGAGAGCAGTGAGGATTATTTTAGCGGAGGAATGAGAGAGTGCCAGGAGCGCATCCAGGAGTATAGAGGAAACCCAGCGTCTGAGGCACGTCCCTGAAAAATCAGGTCACTAACATCCTATGGCTGGCGCACCCGCCGCCGTCCTGCTGCAACCCCATAGCCTTATTTCTCGAGTTTAAAAAAAAATACGAAAGAAAGAAAAATACCTCAGAGAGGGGAAAATAAATAACTTTAAGACTCCAAGAGCAAGGGATGAAGTCTCAGAAGAAACAGAATTCCCCCACCCCACCGCTCTCCAGACGCTGGACGTGCATCTCTCGCCCACCACTAACTCGAGATCCTTTGCAGAACTCTCTCGTAGGATCTGCATGGTGTTGGGTTACACCGTTTTCCGGTGCCCGTGCCCTGTCCAGTTCTCTAGAGACACTGGCCCGAGGATGCTAATGAACTTTGTCCCCTTTCGTCAAACTTGCGCAGACTTGCAGCTTGCACCCACCGCGGCACCGGTGGCGCCCACCTGGGTTGCCCCAATCCCTTCGAACTTCCTCTTCTCCGTCTTGCACCACCCCGGCCCATCCCATACAGCCAGGATGGCGCACACTCGGACCCCGGATCCAGGATCTCGGCAAGAGCCGGGTAAACCATCCTGTCTCCTCCCGTCTGTCCTCAGCGCGCGCACCCAGCAAACCCTTACCTTCGTTGGCGGGATATATCCTAGAACCGGTGACACCATTGCAAATCCCAAACAGAAACGAAAAGAGGATGAAATAGTAAATCCCAGCCATGATTTTGTCGATGCCAGCGCCGCTCCTGCCTCTTCTATCCCAGTGGAATAAATGCTTAAGTTAGGAGTGCAGCGGGCTGTAGACATTGCCAAGGGGGCGGAGAGCAGTGACGTCAGGCCGCCAGTCTGAAGGGGCGGGCCAATCGCGAAGGAGATCGCGCTGCTTTGTCTCCGCCCCCTCCTCCTGCTTAAAGTCCGCACTTCTCGGATTTCCTCCCGCTTCTGCATTTTGCCGGGTGGTTGTCTCTGCAGAGGGGCTCTCCGCATCCGGGGTTGCTTCTCTGCTCTGGAGCATCAATCCTATTCTCCGGCTGGCTCACTCCAGCCTGAGGGTGAAGGTGACGGAGAATAAATAAAAGACTGGGAGTGTGTGTGTCGGGGGAAACATCATTAAGATTAAGACCCTTCACCTCCTGGCTCCTCAGTCACTAAGTACCCGAAATAGGAGTCAAAACCCTAAGAGTACGGAAAAAGGGAGCTGTTGATCTTGAAAATGGATTCTTAACTGAAGAGGAAGAAAAGTGGGGACCCCCCCTTCAACCAATGAGATGAGGTTCCTGAAAACATGTTTTCTATTCTCATGCCCTCTCACCACAACCACTATCCCACCCTTTAAAATTAGCGAAGCTATTTCTTGATATTTGTTTCCAACCATGGCCCTTTCAATTTGCCGAGTTTAAGTCAGCTTTAGTCTTGTGGGGAGTTAAGAGGTACCCAGACAATTCTCACCTCTCCTTTGCAATTCAATAAAAGACTCCCTTCTTCCCTCCCTCCAGTCCCCTCCCCCCCACACACATTCTTTTCTCTTCTAGGTAGAGATGCTGATCTCCATCTCATCCAATTAGTTAAGGAAAGCGTCAGAAACCGGGACAATTCCCCTCTAGGCATCGATAATAGGGTGCAGCGGGCGGGAGGGGAGCATCAGGGTGAATAGATGAATAGAGGGGTAAAAACAAAGATGAACAGTCAGAAAACAGACTATCACCAGCCGGTGTTTAGCAGCGCTCCGCCCCTCACCTCCTTTTTCAGGTGAAGTTCCAGGGAAATGAAATGAGAACATAGAAAGGAAAGGCAGCATGTCCTCCTAATCTGCACAGTTTAGGAATAAAGAAATGCGAAAGCCTGGATCCTCTGAATGAAGATGTGGTGTAATATGAAAGCATCAGGTTTCAAAGACTAGATTCTCTTGCCCTACCCCACCCTCTCATCACCCCAGTCACTTTTTAAAAGGAAAAGAAAAAAAAGGGAAAAAAAAGAAAGTATATGTCTTTCTGTCTGGGGAGAAAGTCCTCTGAGTGACTTCTTCTATTCCCTTAAATAAAATACACTAGGCACCTGGCACATCTCAACGCAGTGACAAGGTCGAGATCACATAAGTGCTGTCCATTGATTCCATCTCCCAAAGTCAGTTCTGCCTGGCCTTTTTTTGGGGGGCGGGGAGAGGTTGGGGGGGTAGGGAGCGCATGAAGGGCAAAATCTAGGGACCCATTAACCTTCCAGGATTTCTTGTAATTGTGCTTTCTTTTCTTCAGATCACCCTCCATCTCCTCCGCTAGCTGCCCCTCCTCCTACTTTTTCTTCTTGGGATTTCCTTCGGAGCCCAAAAAACAGTCAACGCTAACCCCCCGAGGGCAGCAGCCCCAGGGTTTTGCTGCTGGCTCGGGCTCGGACCGAGTGGCTGCGGCTCATTTTAAACCAATAGCGCCACCTCCTGGGGAAACGCAGGCTCAGGCGGCGATGGCGGGCGGAGCGAGCGAAGGGAAGAGGAAAAGGGGAGAGAACGCGGGGGTGCAGACAAAGACGTCAATATGACAAATCAATGGAGCAGGAAGGGTCTTTCGCCCCAGGAGGGCATCTTTCTGTTCCACAACCTTCCACCGCAGCCCGTGAAGTCCAGGGCCCCCAGGAAAAGCTTATCGCTTCTAAAGAAAAGAATGGGCAAGCATTTGAAGGAGAAAATCATGATAGCAAAAAGGAGGGTTCATTCTGAGAGGCAGCTGCCTGGTCTCTTTAAAGTGTGATCTATGCATGTGAATGGGAGAGGGGCAGCAGAGAGGGAAGGAAAGAGGGGACAGCCAGCCTGCTAGAATCCTGCCTTGCTTCAACGACTGGTTAACCTTTATCAAGTCTTTAGGGGCTGAGGTACACTTGGACAGCCCCTTTCCGTTGAAGAAGCTCCGCTTTCTCGTGCAGGTTCATATCCGAACCCATTTGCTTTAAAGACCTGGTCTCCCAACCCCTTCCTCTCCCTCCTTTAGCCAGAACTGCGTACTCAGCTAGGCGAGGGTCGGTTGGAGAAAGGAGTTTATATTCCAGTGACCTTCAAATTTAGTTGTTGTGATTACTAATTTCAGCATGTTAGAAGGGAAATAAATACTAAATTTCAATGTTTTTTAAACAAAGGAAAAACCTTTTAGAAAAATTTACTTTAAAAAAAAATCTGGAGTCCCTTCAGCTCCCTTCAGGGTTTGGGGGAGAAAGGCAATGGCTTTTCCTGGGCCTTGTCTGTTTAACTCACCCCATAACTCCCAATGCTAAAATTTTTCAAACGGTTATGTGCTGTCTCTTCTGATGAGCATTTCTATGTTTGCCTGTATGTATTTGTTTGAAGTGAGCCATAGGCAGCTACCTGAATCCTTTAAAAAATCAGGGAAATTTCTCAAACATATACTGACTTTTAGGAATATGCACCCAGAATACTAAGGGAAGCCTTTCCAGCCGCAGCTGCCTGAAACGAATGCATCATTTAACTGTGATACACTGAGTGACTTTTTTCGTTTTCTGCTGCTTTTTCATTTTGAGGCCCTGTAGCAGCCTAATAATTTGGAGGGCCAAGAGCCCTGCATGGAACAAGACCTAGAACATAACTGCTCCTCTTTGAAACAGGTTTGTGCTGAATGTCAGAAATCAGCCTCTTAAAATTTTCCTGTACATTGCTGCATTGTTCCAACACAGAGAAAAGTGCTTTAACTGCCAGATTCCTAAAAATAGGGCAAGGGGGAAGATGAGAGACTTGGATTGGCCAGTCTAGTCCACTAGCAATTCAGAATTCCTGATTTATCAGAAAGGAAATGCCCACAGGTGTTGAAAGTTGTCTAAAAGCACTTACCCACTAGGCTTGTGATATAATAAATTACTGTACCTCTTTTTAAAAAACTGCTTAAGCTCTTCTACTCTTCAAATGAATTTCTTTCCTCTCTATAAAGAAACACTGACCAGATATATACACTGCCAGAAAATTGTTTGACACTTTGGATTCATCTTTGCAACAAGGTCAAATGTCCTCCAAAGTTCACTTATTGGCATAACGAAGGGAAAGATGCCAAGACTTAAATGTGTCCTTTAGTTTAAATGTTGCCCAGGTCTTAACTTAAAGCCCTATCGTAGAGTAACTTAATACAAACTAACCTACGGTTGTCCTAACTTCTTAAATGTGTTATTATAATTTAAGGCCTAATTCAATGAACATATGTAGAATATCAGTATGTATCCTATTGATCTACAATTGTTAGCCTAAAAGGGAAAGTGAATTTGACCCACAGATTATTAAACAATAGAACAGTGAAAAAGATGTTGGTTTGGTCTTAGTCAACGAGTAAAAACCGTGGCTCCTTTAGTTAACTTCCTAATGGCACAGTCTCTTGATCAGAAAAATGTTGCATGGGAAAAGGAAAGTCTTTAATCAATCTTGATTCTCTCCCTCCACAGCAAGATGTCATTTTCTGAAGTCTAAGAGTGTCAAAAGCATTCTTCTCACCTCTACTGTAGTAGGGGAAGATGATTTCTCCCACCTATAAGTAACCCTCAAATTACTTCCTTCCATTGATCTGGGGAAATCCAATCATTCTGTAATTGTTGTATAAAATGTATCTGCCAAAAGATTCCAAGACCAGAAATTTCACCATTCCTCATGTCTGTCTCTTCTTTTCTACATATGTACATATGCAATTGGAAAGCAATGTCCCACCTTTGATTTGGACTGGCTTTGTATATGCAGGGTGTTCCAAAAGTCTTAGTGTCTTTTTCAAACTATTAAAGCTTAATATGCCTTTATACCTTTTATAATTATTTCATTGTCTTTTTTCATTAAGTTTCCAAATAGATACTTAACATTCTGCCATCTAAGGCTTGTGCTTCAGTTGGGCAGAATCAGGAGATCTGAGTTCTAATTGTAGCCTGCCACCATCTGGCTAAAAAAGAGCTTTCTGTGATCTTGGGCAAGTCTCAGGATTTCTTTCAAATCCCTATTTTCCTCAAGGGCAGCTGAGTGACACAGTGGATGAAGCATTGCCCTTGTAGTCAGGAGGACCTGAATTCAAATTCTGCCTCAGATTCTTACTGTGTGATCCTAGGTAAGTCGTTTAAACTGTTTACCTCAGTTTCCTCCACTGTAAAATGAGCTGGAGAAGGAAATGGCAAACCACTCTAGTATCCTTTCTACAATATCCAACCTTCCGGCTTTTGTTGAAAGACTTCTAGGAGAGGGAGCCCAGTGCTTCCCAAGGCGGACCAGTGAACTTTTCAATAGATCCAATTGGATTATGTTTTTTCCTTCACATCAAGTGCAAAATTTCTTTGTTCCTTTCATTTGTTATTCCAGTTCTGGTTCTGTGATTTGGAGACAAATAGAACTAGTCTAATCCTTTTCTTACATGACAAACCCTTCAGATTCTGAAGATAATGAACCTGAATGGTTCCCCTTCTAAGGATATAGTACTGAAAGGGTTACAAACCACTTCCTTCAACACAACTTTTTGAGATAGCTAGTGAGTGCAAATATTAGTATCCCAGTTTCAGAGATAAGGAAAGAAAGGATCAAAATATTTACGTGATTTCCCTGGGGTTGTTGTTTTGGTTCTTTTCTACTCTTTTTTTTTCCCCCTGTCAGGTCAGACCTCTTTGTGACTCTATTTGGGGTTTTCTTGGCAAAGACACTGAAACGGTTTGCCATTGCCTTCTCTAGATAAGGAAACTGAGGCAAACAGGATTAAGTGATTTGCCTAGGGTCACATAGCTAGTAAGTATCTGAGGCCGTATT